CACACACACACACACACACACACACAGAGTGTTCCCTGCTGTGCCAGCAAGTTGCCCCTCATCCCCAGCCTCTCTTCTTTCTCCCCCCCCCCCCCCCAAAATGCCGCAGGTGAGGAGAGGAGGATCCGGGAGTTCTACCAGTCCCGAGGGCTGGAGCGGGGCAGCCAGGCCAGCCACGAAGGTAAGGCTAGTCCCCCCTCCTGCACGCAGCCTGCTTTAGAGGGGACTTTGGTGGGCCAGACCCCGTGCCTGACAGCCTGCCTTCCATCCCAGACCCTGCCTCGGACCGCGTGGGCCTGCCCTACACCACCTTCGACCACTCACGGGCTCATTATTACCGCTTTGACGAGCACGTCACGCTGTGCCTGGAGAAGCAGAGGTGAGGCAGGAAAGGGTCAATCGGGACTCGTCCCCCTGGGCTGCCCCCAGGGCCTTTGCAGGGAAAGAGCAACGGACAGGGAATCTCCCCCCCCCCACTTTGCTGCCCAGTTGCCTCAATGGTGGGGAGGGGGGCTGGCTGGTTCGGAGGCAGTGGGAGGGGGGCGGGCCTCCTAGGCGATGAGTCCTGTGGGTTTTCCGCCACTGCTTCCCTTGCCAGTGCAGGGTGAGCCTCTTGGGGAAGCCCCGGGGGGGGGGTTCGTGGGTTCCCTGGGGGCTGGCAGGGGGCTTCCCTTCTCTGGGTGCCTGAGCTGCTTCCCCACTTCCCTCCCTTTTGAGGTGGGCCGGATTCAGCCCCTCCTGTCTTCTCCCTCTTGCAGCAGCTCTGGGAAAGAGAAGAGCAAACACGTCCTGCAGGTGAGGAGACCCCGGAGACCCCTCCCCATGTGGGTGCCTCCCTCTGTGGGGAAGGGCGAGGTGGATTGAAACTACCACGGGAGGCCCTGCAGGGCTGGCTGGGCGTCTCCTCGTCCTGCTGGCTTCATGGTTGCCTTCTTCACCACCACCCCCTCCCCCCTCCCCCCCCCACAGCAAAAGTACGTCCGCTGCTCCGTGCGGGCCCAGATCCGCCACCTCCGCCGGGTTTTGTGTTGCCGACTGGAACTGGCCTTGCAATATGTGAGTGAGGGTCCCACCCGGTCCAGGAGGGCCTGCAGGCCATGTGCCAAGGTCCGGGAATGGGGGCGGGGGTCTGGCTTCTGCTAATGGGTATGCTGGGCAACTCTCCCCCCCCCCCCAGGTACAGATCCTGTTTGACAACGAGGTGCTTCCGGACCACCTGACTTTGAAGCAACTTTGGCTCACCCGTTGGTTTGGCAAGGTGGGGGCACATTCTGGGGTGGGCTGCCCTCCCCCCCACCCTCAGGCGGAGCACTCACTCGACTCCCTTGTCTTCCAGCCGGCCCCGCTGCACCTGAACTACAGTGTGAAGGAGAAGAGGAGGTAGGGGGCGATGGACCGTGATGTACCCTTCCCCCCCCCTTTTAATTTAAGGATCTCCGCTCTTCCGTGGGCGTTTATTTTTGTAATAAAAAGGCTGATGGAGGCCTTCTGGCTCCTTCAATGAACAGGAGTCTCTTTTGGGGGCGTGGGGTGTGTGCGTGACTGCTGAAGCTAAGGCTGCGATTCTCCAGACTGGCCAGCTGGGGGCAGCGCCACTCCTGCCCACTCTGGCATGGAGGATGGATTTCCCCCTCTCCCCAGTCCCTGGGGGGTGGTTTAATGTGCCTCGGCTAAGGCCTCTTTACCAAGCCGCAGTTGCTGTGGGTCAGGCTGGGGAAATTAATCCCCACCAAGCCTCCCCACCCCCCCAGGAGTGAGGAGGAAGGACCTCCCCCCCCCCTGCAGTTTGTCCACCTCCCTCCCAGAGAAGGCTTGAGGCTGGAAAGCCTTCCCCCAGGCAGCCAGTCAGGACCCATCCGGGACCCCCAACACTTTCCTATTCCCCAAGCTGGGCTGCTATCAGACTGGAGTTTGGCCTTGTGGTGATAGGCTGCCTGGTTGTGCTGCAGCCCTGCTGTGGTCCTGGGGGCTGCCCCTGGGGGCCGTGAGCTTTGTGGAGCCCTGCGTTGGAAGAGGGGAAAACGACAGTCCCTGCGCCGATGATGCCCACCTCTCTTCTTAGGTTTAGGTTTAGGTTTTATTAGCATTTGTAGGCCGCCCTTTTCCCTGAGGGGACTCAGGGCGGCTCACAGAAAACCAGGGAGAGGGGAATACAGACATTAAGACAGAAACATGTAATAAAATAGCAAGCAACATCCATTCATCATTCGGGCGGGGTAGCGATTCTTATCCCCAGGCCTGACGGGCGAGCCAGTTCTTCAAGGCTGTGCGGAAGGCCTGGACGGTGGAGAGGGTACGAATCTCCACGGGGAGCTCGTTCCAAAGGGTCGGGGCTACTGCTGAGAAGGCCCTCCTCCTTGTGGTTGCCAGCCGACACTGGCTGGCCGATGGAATGCGGAGGAGGCCTAGTCTATGGGATCTTATAGGTCGTAGGGAGGTAATTGGCAGAAGGCGGTCTCTCAAGTATCCAGATCCACTGCCATGTAGGGCTTTATGGGTGATTAATAGCACCTTGAAGCGCATCCGGAGATCGACAGGCAGCCAGCGCAGCTCGCGGAGGATGGGTGTTATGCGGGTGAATCGGGGTGCACCCGCAATCACTCGCGCGGCTGCGTTCTGCACTAGCTGAAGTCGCCGGATGCTCCTCAAGGGCAGCCCCATGTAGAGCACATTGCAGTATTCCAGCCTAGAGATCACAAGGGCCCGAGTGACTGTTGTGAGGGCCTCCCGGTTCAGGTAGGGTCGCAACTGGCGCACCAGGCGTACCTGGGCGAATGCCCCCCTGGTCACAGCCGTTAAATGGTGGTCGAATGACAGCTGTGGATCCAGGAGGACTCCCAAGTTGCGGACCCTCTCTGAGGGGTGTAGAATTTGACCCCCCAGCCTGAGTGTTGGAATATTGGCCAAATCTTTGGGAGGGAAACACAACAGCCACTCGGTCTTTTCTGGGTTGAGCACAAGCTTGTTAACCCTCATCCAGTCCATAACGGCTTCAAGACCCCGGCCCATCACGTCAACCGCTTCATTGATTTGGCACGGGGCGGACAGATACAGTTGAGTATCGTCCGCATATTGATGGTATCTGATCCCGTGCCTGCGGATGATCTCTCCCAGCGGTTTCATGTAGATGTTAAATAGTAGGGGGGATAAGACCGAGCCCTGCGGCACCCCATAATTTAGGGGCCTTGGGGACGATCTCTCCCCACCCACTAACACCGACTGGGGTCTTCTCCAGGGCCTCTTCCCAGCGTTTGGGGGGGGGGGCTCACTCTTTAGAAGTCTTCCCTGCATTGATAACCAGAACCGGTTGAGGGTCCCTACGCCACCCCCACCCTCCTGGTGCTCGTCTGCTGCCAGGGGCTTCTCCCATAGGCAGAGGAAAGGGCTGCTTCCTCCCCCTGGAGGGCATCTCCGCTTTGCCTCCACCCCCTCCTCCTCCTCTAGGGGTGCCCAGAGGTGAACCCAGAGCCTCTTCCCACAGCCACCTGCTTGGCCAGTCAGGTTGCTGGCTTACAATTGCCAGCAATGGCCTCTTGTTTTACACCTGCTGAGTGTATCAATCAAGCAGCTCTGAACAGCCCCCACCGTGTGTCCCCCCCATCCTGCCTCTGAGCCCCACCGTGTGTCCCTGGGTGGGCCCAGCCCTGCAGCTGGACAGAAGCTGCTGCTGTGTTTGGCCAGAGGTTGCAATCGTCCCATGCTCCCCACCCCCATTTTCCTAACCGTGCAGCCCTTTTCCTGGGAGAAACTCTCTCCTTGCGGGAATCCTTGCCTTCCTCCGCCCGAGGGCTCTTCCTCTTCCTCTCCCTAGTTAAAGGGCAGCTGCTTGCATGTTAAAGGGTTAAAGGGCAGCTGCTTGCTCAAGCTGCCCCACCTGTGCCACCCATGGGTGAGACACGGAGGACTTCGGGCAGGAGATCTTCCTTTCACACAGAGGTGGCTGACCCGTGTGGGAACTCTGCTGGCTCCCTCCCAGCCGCCTGGGTCTTGCTCCCCAGAGCACCGCCAGCTGGCTGACCATCCACTCCCTTCCTTGAGCTGGTCTGGTGGCAGCCGTGGCCACCGCTACCCACCACCACTCCTGCTGCCTTTGGCCTTGCAGCCACTCTGCAGGGATCTGGTTTCCTGCCAAGGCCAGCTGTTGCCAGTTCTCACTCCACCACGGGAGAGCCCTTGGGCTGGGCTGCTGCTCCCCCCCCCCCCCAAAGCCCTTGCTAAGGAGCTGGGGAAATGATGGGAGTCTGGGCCTGGGGCCTGCGTGGGGGTATGCGCCTTGCAAGCTGAGAGGGGCCATCTTAGTTTTATTTCTCGGGAACAGAAAGAGTTTTATACATGCTCAGGGATAGTCTGGTTTTTCTTGGATTGGAAAACATGAACCCTAGAAATCCTTCCTTCCCCCCTTTCTGGAATGTGCGCCAGGGAGGGGAAACGGGGGCCGAGCGATCCTTCATCACACACAAACAGGGCCGGTCATGCTCCAGGCTGCTAATAGCCGGAGGCTCCAGGAGGGTAATCCGAGCCGGCTCTCTTCCCAACAGCGGAGCAGCCTGTGGCGGGAGGGGGCCCGGACGTGGGGCGCTGCATGCTTCCCAGTGCAAAGTTGCCGGGGCTGGGTGGGCCCGGGACAGCTGCCACAGCACACCCGCGCTGGGCGCCGCTGTTCTCCCCGAGGGCTACTGCAGAACCTCCCATCTCGGGGGGGAGAGGGGGGCAGCGGCCCTCTAACTCAAATCTTTCCAGAGACTCTACTGGGGATTGAACTTTTACACCACACACCACCCTCCTTCCCCCCCCCCCCACTTGCAGCCGTTCCCGGCGCGCGAGAAGCAGGTCGGACTGGCTTAGTTCGGCTTAGCGAACCCTCGTCTCAGCCCCAGGCGGTAATTGAGGCATCGGCGCTATCGAGGCCCTTCCTCCACGTTCCTCGGCTGCCCGCCAAGAACAATCCCCGGCTTACGGAGAGCCTCAACTTTCCGGACTCCTCCGAACCGAGAAATCGGGCCCGGCTCTTAGCACGGCTTTTCTCAGAACCTCCCAGCCCCTCCTTGTCTCCGCCCTTCAGGCCCACGCGGAGAGATTTCTAGATCCGTGCCAGCTCAGTGTGTCTCCTCCGCCATCGCTGCCTCCTTGGGCGCGGCCAAAGGATTGCCACCGGCCTCCCTGTCCCGGTTCTCGGCCTCTCGCTCGCGGCAAAGCCGCCGGAGCTGCGGGCGCAGTTGCCAACATTGATGGGAAGGAGGAGGTGCAGCCCAGATGGAGCTGGAAGTGGGAGACCGATCCTACGTTCGGGGCTCAGCGCAGCGCGAAAGCTCCGAACTCCGCGCCGCCGCCGTCCGCCGCGCAGGAGATCCTGCCAAGGAAATGGGGTGGAAGATCAGCAGCTGGCGACCCCATAGCGAAAGTCCCGGGGGCGTCACCGTGGGGCTGCTGTCTGTACAATTGACTTCGCTAGCTGAAGATTTAAATCCTAAAGAGTTACGAATGTGCCAATAATCTGGAAAACTGCTGGACTCAAGAAAATCGGTGTCGGTGCTGCTGAAGGGAAGGGAAGCCAGAAGGGGGAATCCATGCACTATGGAGGCGTCGTTGTCCCAGGAAGTACTATTTGGAGTGGGAAGGGAAGCAGGGAACATGGCTCGTCAGCTTTTCCTGCCCGCAGCAGCTGGAGCTTTCAGAAGTCCCAGGGGGCTGTTGGGGCAGGACCAGGGCCGAGCCTCCAGATTAGCCTCAAACCATGTGTGGCAGGTGACCTCTTGACACACCTGGCGAGACCGGGCCTTCTGGTCTTTGGCGCCAATAAGTGGGCATCAGACACCATCCAACCAAGCAGGACAGAAGCGGGGGGGGGGGCATCCCTGCTCTGCCTTCTCCGATCCTCCAAGGAGCTGATCTGCTTTCTTCCCAAGCCAGCTGAACCCCCCCCTGTAACAACACCCCCCCAATCACCTGGCAGGAAGGACCATCTGATACTCACCTGCCCAGAGCCGCTGAGCTGAGGGTATGTGGGGGTGGGGGAGAAGATCTCCAGCCAGGCGGGGCTGAGATAAGGTGGCCTGATTGAAGGAGAAAGAGGTGCAGCCTTTCAGGCCGGGCACAGGCGCTGCTTCCGCCAGCTCAGGAGTCGAGGAGAACGGCTGAGCCCTGGACCACTCCTGGCTTCATCCCGTAGAAAGGCAGCTGAGCCCGGCCAGCCTGTCTAGTGCTTCCCCTCCCCTCCCTAGCGGAGGAAACCGCCACACGGCTGTCAGGTGGAAGAGCTGTCGGAGCAGAAGCGGGATGGAGGCTCCCCATAACGAGCCCACTGGAGACCAAGCTAATAAGAAAATCTAAAGCTAATTCTGTCAGAATTCTGGGGCCCGATTGGCAGCCGGCAATGACTGTGCGGGAGCAGCCTGAGCCAAGCCAGCCATACTGAGCGGGTGAGGGTGGAGGGGCGGTGGGGCATGGCCCAGCCCAGGACAGCCAAGCACATAGGGGGGGAGGCTGAAGATGGGGGAAGCC